ATATATTTAGTCACACACATTTGGACTAGAAAATTTATGGAGACTTCATCAATGATACTATGTTATTAGAGAAATGTTTTAATTTTCATATTCCAGTCAGATGGCATCTTATATCCCTGGTTGGGAAGGGGTTGAAAATGGTAGTAAGTGCTGTACTAAGGCCACTTTCATTTGGTTATTCTCTTGAGAACTAAGATTTTCTCTAGGAGGAGGTTAACTTGAGGCCAGAGAGAAAGGGCTTTTGCCTGGGGGCTAGAGAACTGGAGACTCGACCCTAAAGCAGCTGCTGTGGTTAGGTGCTGTTAGTCCTGTGTGTGAAAAGGGAGAGAATGGCTAATGATGCTCCATATTAAATTGCCTATTGTTTTTACGCCACCTGATATGTCTGCATGAGAGTTTTCCTCTTTGTTCATTTTTAAGCTGCTGTTAAACCAAAACCATGTTGTGCTACTGTGTCAGCCTTTTCGTTATTCTGAATTTTACTTTTCCTATTTAAGTGAATGCGTAGAATCCAATTTGACAATGTTCTAAAGGCTTATAATGTTCTAAAGGAGCCAGGCTTGGCCTTGTATTCAGCAGAAGGGAAATTATAGACTGGTACGGAGTGAGAGGAGGAGCATTTCAGTGCTGTCCCTTCACTTACGAAGGACATGCAGGCCTCAGCTGAGGTTCCTTCATGGGGCCCACTGAGAGGGGGAGGGAGTCACTTTCCTTCCAGTTCTGTGCTTAGACAATAGAACAGCACTAGGCTTGGCCAGTCACACAATTAATTGTTTCATTTGGGCCCTTTTTGCAGCTGCTTCATATGCCCTACCCATGCCCCATCACCAACATCTGGTAGTTTACTATTTCTTCAAGAACAAAGTAGACTTCAATGCTGTAAATTTGAGCTGTAGAGACCTTGTTTTTTCCCCCTAGAGTCTAATGGCAGTGATTGTGGCCAGGAGAGTTTTTCTCTGGCCATGGCAAGTGCAGTTCCAGCCCTACCCCACCCCACTATGCTCCTTTGAAGCCAATGTGCCTCCCTCCCCTCCATGTTGGAGGGATGACATAGGGGAGAAGAAAATAGAAATGCTTGGCCCTAGGGTTGAGTCCATTGTTTCCTATTAGCCCACTGTGTTCTGATCAGTGCAAATAGTTTAATGTGGAAGATGTTTAAGCACTACCAGCCAAATTTGGGGAATACGTTAACAGGTATCCTACCAGCATATTAAGGCTAACTCTAAAGTTTGGGGCCCAGAAGAGGGTAGAGAAAGGGCAGCAGCTTTATCTGAGCAGTACACTGGGTTGAAGGCAAAGAGGAATAAAGTGATAGATAATGATGACTCTGGTGTGGAGGAGATGAGCAGGGAGTGTTGATTTCTATGTTGCTAACTGAGTGGTATGTTCTGGATGATGCTCAGCTCTCTTCCCCTCCCAGGGAAGAAAAGCAAAGATTAAAAGTAAGCATGACACTAATTGGTTTACCAGTGTTCCTTCCAAGGAGACATATATTTTTTAATAAACGATAGTTGCAATGAACTGTGGCTCAGAGACCTTCTTGAAGTAGTTGAGAAGGGTGGGTGGGTGCACAGCAATGGGAAAAAAAGTCCGAATCAAGCATTTGGGACCAAAAGACTCTACTTAATAATGATCAGGAATTCTTCTGGATGATTACAGATATCTGTGGTGGTAACAAATCCCTCATGAAAGCTGTATACTCAAACCTACCTCCACGCCCCAGATACTTCCAGAAATAGAGTGAGTGGCCCCACAGCATTGGTAGTGAGGTGCTGATATTTTCCCAAAAGGTACACAAAGCGGGATTTGCGTGCCACATAGGTGTGTGTGTTAAAGGATCCAGTTATAAGCAGTGAAGTGACTAATAAAATTGGTAAGAGAAAACTGGTCTACTATCTTCCAGCACTCAGAAAGCATTGAGTGCTCAAGTAAAAATAAAGGTGGCATAGGTACAGAGTAGACTCCAGTTGGCAGAGCAGGGCAGCAATCATCGATGTAGGTCCTGCAGTGAGGATGAATGCTTAGAGAAGGTATTTGACATGGCTGATGTCACTGTAGCTTGGGTTGTGAAATCTGCAGAAATACTGCCTTAATTAAGATTGAGAATGATAATCAAACGAATGAACAACCAGTGTGTGCTGAGAACCCCATAGTAGGGATGATGCTTGTGATGTTGTTTGTTTTGCAGAACGCTCTTTTCAGGCAACCTGACAAAAGGGAGTCTTCAACAGTAAGGGTTTAAGGAAATGGAAAGGGAACAAAGAATTGGCCTATCATCACGTTGTGTTGAGAGTGGAGCACAGCAGCTGATACACTTCCTAGTTGTTGTTGTTAAGGTGCTGTTAAGTCAATTCTGACTCATAGCTGCCGTAAGCACAGCAGAACAAAACACTGCCTGGTCTGCACCATCTTCACAGTTATTTTTGAGCCCATAACAATGCAACGGTGTCAATCCATCTTGTTAGGGCTCTTTCTCTGTTTCTCTGATGCTCTACTCTACTAAGCATGATGTCCTTCTCCAGGCACTGGTTCCTCCTAACAACACATCGAGAAAACGAGAGATGAAGTCTCACCATCCTCACATCAAAGGGGAGCATTCTGGCTGCACATGCAATTGAAAATACCAAGGCTTGGGTCAGGTGCACCCTAGTCTTCAAACGGACATCTCCACTCTTTAACATTTTAAAGAGGTCTTTTGCAGCACATTTGCCTAATGCAATACATCTTTTGCATTCATGACTGCTGCTTTGAATGTTTATTGTAGATCCAAGCAAAATGAATTCTTTGACAACTTCAGTCTGTTCTCTGTTTATCAAGATGTTATTGGTCCGTTGTGAGGATTTTTGTTTTCTTTACATTGAGTTGCAATTCACACTGAAGGCTGTAGTCTTTGATCTTGACCTGTATGTATTTTATGTCCTCTTTGCTAACAGCAAGCAAGGCTGTGTCATCTGCAAATCCCAGGTTGTTAATGAGTCTTCCTCCAGTCCTAATGCCACATTCTTCATATAATCCAGCTTCTCAGATTATTTGTTCAGCATACAGATGGAATGTTGTTGTTGTTGTCAGGTGCCATTGAGTCAGAACCAACTCATAGCGACCCCATACACAGCAGAACGAAACAATGTCCGATCCTGGGCCAACCTCATTACTAAAACGGCCATCACTCATCTGTCTGTCTTGCTGTGGTGGATTGAGTTACTGTGATTCTGAGGGCTCTGCCACTGGTATTTTAAATAACCAGAAGGGTCACCCATGGTGGACAGGTTTCAGATGAGCTTCCAGACAAAGACAGACTAGGAAGAAAGAGTGACAAACTACTTCCGAATCGCTAGTCACTGAAAACTCTATGAATAGCAGAGAAACAGATGGAATAAGTATGGTGAAAAGATACAACCCTGACACATACCTTTCCTTATTTTAACCCATCCAATATCTCCTTGGTCTGCATACAGGTTCTTCATGAACACAATTAATTTTTCTGGAATGTCCATTCTTCACAATGTTATCCTTAGCTTGTTATGAGCCACACAGTCAATGCCTTTACATGGTCAATAAAGCACAAGTAAACATCTTTCTGGTATTCTCAGCTTTCAATCAAGATCTGTCTGATAGCATGGATACCTCTTCTTCCATTTCCTCTTCTGAATCCAGCTTGAATTTCTGGCAGCTTCCTCTCAGGTACTGTTACAACCATTCCTGAATGATCTTCAGCAGAATTTTACTTGCATGTGATATTGTTAGATGATTTCAATATTCCATTGGGCCACCTTTCTTTGGAATGGGCACAAATATGGATCTCTTCCAATTGGTTGGCTAGGTAGGTAGCTAGCTGTCTTCCAAGTGTCTTGGCATAGAAGAATGAGTGCCTCACCAGAGCAGTGTCAGCTTGCTGAAACATTTCCATTTATATTCTGTCAATTCTGGAAGCCTTGTTTTTTGCCCATCAATACCTTCAGTGCAGCTTGGACTTCTTCCTCCAATATCATTGGTTGATGATCACATGCTGCCTCTTGGTTGAGCATCAACAAGTTCTTTTTGGTACAGTGATCTTCTTGTGATGCTTCTTACACAATTCAGTATTTGGAAGAGGTATAAAACTCCTGGTGTGGTACTGTAGGATCAACACAGTACTGTAAATCACAAGGTCGGCAGTTCAAACCCACCAGCTGCTCCTCGGAAACCCTATGCAGGGTCGCTATGAGTCAGACCTGACTCTACAGCACATAACAGCAACAATAAAACCAAAAGCCAAACCCACTGCTATCGAGTCAATTCTGACTCATAGTGACCCTAGGTAGGATTTCTGAGGCTGTAAATCTTAACAAGAGCAGAAAGCCTTTTCTCTCCTGCTGAGTATCTTGTGGATTCAAACTGTTGACCTTGCAGTTAGCAGCCCAATCTATAATCCACCACTCCAACTGGAGAAAATAGGCACTAGCATGAGAAAATACTGAGCTGCTTGG